ATCTGAACTTTTTTCTTCAGATCTAGGCTGTAGATGTACTTTGTTTATAGATTTAAACATTTTTCTTCGGATCTAGGCTGTAGATGTACTTTGTTTACAGATATGAACCTTTTTCTTCAGATCTAGGCTGTAGATGTACTTTGTTTACAGATCTGAACCTTTTTCTTCAGATCTGGACAGTATACTCTGATTTTGAAAATGAAGCGTAAACAAATTGGTCTTTTCTGGCCGTGAAAATGGGGATGTCACAGTTTTCATGCTATGGGTTGGGGTAATAAAGCTTTTGGACAAAGATCTATGTCCTAAAAGAACTAGGGTTTTAGCTAAACCCATTAAGAAGGATTATCAATGGGTAAAGTTTGAGACTTTACCCTTAAAAGGGCATTTCCAGTATGTAGATGAAGTATGGACCTTGAATTTGGAGAGCAGAGGCTTAATATATTAAGATGGCCAAACAGTCAGAGGAACTCGTCGAGTCCATAGAGGAACTCGACGAGTTGGGTCGTGTTGTCCCGTTTTAGCTTAAGGTAGGACTCGACGAGTTGGTGAAGGGACTCGACGAGTTGATTAGCTAAATCACAATTATGTGTAGCCAGGGAACTCGGCGAGTCAGGGGGGTGACTCGATGAGTTAGATCGTGATTTCAGGATTCTAGGACTCGGTGAGTTAATGGAGCAACTCGGCGAGTTGAGTCAACCCAGAAGGTTGACTTTGACCAAAATGTTGACTTTGACCAGGGGTAAAATGGTTATTTTACCCTATGAAAGATTCTCAGTTTTTGACTACGTGATTATTGTGATAATGATAGTCGGGGAGTCGTTGGAGCAGCCGTCAGAGATTCCTCACCCGAGATTTCAGCAGCCAGCTTGAGAGGTGAGCCTCTTCCAGTAGGAACGGGTCTAAGGCACCAAGACAGGTCTGTTTATGTATGTTAGTAATGTCGGGGTTAGCCTGATGTAGTCTATATGTTCCGGACATCGGTCTGATGTCAGGGCAAGCCCAAGGAATGTTTGTATGCTTGATGTCTTCGTGATTCTTGCGTGTGTTTGTTTATGTGTTCCGGACTTCGGTCCGATGTCGGGGCAAGCCCGAGGAATGTTTAGCCTATATGTTATGTTTATGTGTATCGGGCTTCGGTCCGATGTCAGGGCAAGCCCGAGGAATGTTTATATGTTTACGTTATGTGTTTATGTTATATGCTTGTTGATATGATATATGTATACCGGACTTAGGTTTGATGTCGGGCGGGGCCCGATGCCGGACTTCAGTCCGATGTCGGGCGGGGCCTGATGCCGGTGGTCTGATGCCGGGCGGGGCCTGATGTAGCGGGCAAGGCCCAATGTATGTTATTATGTGATTATGTGTATGGTATGTGGTAGTTGGGGAGACTCACTAAGCTTCGTGCTTACGGTTTTTAGTTTTGGTTTCAGGTACTTCCGCTAGCAAGGGGAAGAGCTTGGGATGACTGCATGGCACACACCACAACTTTTAGTCTGGGATATTTTACTCTGGTTTATTGACATGTGATTGATATGGATACACTGTTTTGACATTTGGGATATTATGGTTTTTATGTTTCGGTTAATGATTTTCAGTAATTCTGGATTAATTAATGATTTTAAAAACGAAAGTAGGTTCTAGGACCTACTTAAATTTTCAATTTCATTTAGAATATATAGCACAAAAATTGGAAACTACCTTAAAAAAAGTAAAAAACCTACATTGAGTTTGTTTTTTTTTTTTAAATGTATTAAAAAACCATTTTAAAATGAGAAAAAAATAAGTCACTAGGGGTCATTACTTCTTATGTGCTCTCAAATATATAGGGTTAAATATGATATATAGTTTTTATCAAATAATAAGGTATCAATACACTAATAATCAACTAGTTTTTCATTAATTCGTGCAGTTTTTTCAGTTATATTTCAATCGATTTTTTAAAAAAATTAATCGGTGGTGTTTGATCGGTTTTAATAGGTTAAATTGGTTGGTGCAGTCTTTTTACGCTACACGGCCCGACCCGACCCCACCCCCCACAAGTGTTGTTGATTTTTTTTTATCGGCTTCATTTAATTTGAGAATCACGTGATTTTTTGTTTTAGATTCGCAACTGCCTACCACATCCCTGTTTTCGGCGTTCTCCTTTGAAGTTTGAACCCACCCTCGGCCCTCGTTCATCTTGCGATCGATTCCCCTCTCGAGTCTCGAAAGTAAAACCGCACCCCTTTTTCAAACTCTATTATTAATACTATGGACGACGGTGAATGAAAAACGGTCGTCCATATCACAGCCATTGAAACTCTTGAAAGTTTTAATCTCAGCCACTTAAACTCAATATTTACGGTTAATGAGAGATTCCCAGCAGTTTTCGTCTCCTCCGCACGCTTCCTTCTTCTTCTCCCCATGTTCACAGTCGGTTTATCGATTTATGTCACTTCTCCATCAACCAACCACAATAAGGAGGTCGCTTCCTTCTTAATCGGTAACTTCTCCTGCTTCGATCTCTTTCTTTTTCATCTCCCACGTTCGGTAACTTTCGGTGATTCCCATTGATGTATTTCTGGTTGTAAAACTCAAATGGGTCCATATGTTCAGTGGGGGCTTGGGAATTAAATTTATAAAATTTGTTTTAGAAAAGTGAGTGATAAAGGCTTTCACCTAGCGGTTCTTAAAAACCCAACTCAATTTTTGGCCCATTTGGTCCGTTTGAAAGGGGGATAAACTATAAAGTATAAACCTTGTAATATCTTTGCCAGTTATTTCCATGGTCGATTATTCGAGACACTTTGTAGTTGGGTTATTAAAACATGATCGTCGAGCCATTTAACAAGTAAATTCCTTACCCTTACTTATCTTCGTAAGAAGTTTAACCGAGCGTTAAGTTTGTGCATTTTCTTTACGTTTTCATGAATTTGGGTTTGATTAATTTATCATTATGATTGATTTAGATTGGTGAAGTTGGTTGCGAGGGCATTTTACGATGATATTACTGCAAAAGGAGATAATCAACATCAACCCAAATCAGGGAGGAGCGATAATAGGGGAATTGCTGTTGTTGTTCTTGACGCTCTTACGAGGTAATTCGGTTGTAATTTCGTTGCCAATATATCAATATCACGATCATGCACTATTGTATAATATATTCAACGTCTTTTGCTTCGATTAACTGTTTGGGAAAATTGTTACAATTGTAAATCATGAATTACCTCCGCTCTCTAATTTTTCCAAAAACTCTATGTTGGTATTTCATTGGGTGCATGTCATCATCAAATGGGCATTGTAAACTTTGATATCTTAACCTTTTTGAAAAGTATGTATTGTTTGTTGCAATTTTGTTCTAGATAAAAATGAGACTATATAGAGCTGAAACCTTTTTGTGGTTGATTTTAATCACAACTATATGAGAAAGAATTACACAGACTTCATTCCTTTATGTGAAAAATATCTTATAAATACCAGTTCATCAACTTCATTCCAATGGTGCATTTATCTTGTGTTACTTTAGACGCCAATGGGTACACGAAGAAGATTTAGCAAAAGATTTAAAGTTGCATTTAAAACAACTTCGGCGAGCTTTACAGTTTTTTGAAGAAGAAAAACTTGTAACCAGGGTTCACATGAAAGAGGTTAGATTCATACTTTTATATAATATATTTGTATTATTATATATATACACTATAATCTGTTTCATTATATGTATATATTTATAAAAATTACAGACTGCCAAAGGTGCAAAAGCCTATAGTGCTGCTGCTGATAGTCACCCTGGAAGAGAAGGAGATGAAAAGGTTAAATATCACACTCACTCTTATTGCTGTCTCGACTATGCACAGGTTAATAATTAATCTACATTTTCTTTTTAACCTTTTCTTTTATTCACATAATAATTACTATTATTTGTTGTAGATACATGATGTGGTGAGGTATAGATTGCACAGGATGAAGAAAAAGTTGAAAGATGAATTAGACAACAAGAACACAGTCCAAGAATACATATGCCCAAAATGTGGAAAAAGGTTCAATCTTTTTTCTTTTTTTCTTATCTTTAACGATGTTTGACCAGTCAAAACTGAAAAATATTCTCACCCTTTTCAGATATAACGCGTTGGATGCCATTCAATTGATCTGTTTTGAAGACGACTCTTTTCATTGTGAAATTTGCAACACTGAATTAGTAGCAGAGAGTGACAAATTAGCTTCCGAACAAGATTTGGGAGATGGTGATGATAATGCAAGAAGAAGAAGGCGTGAGAAATTGAGAGATTTGCTTCAAAAATTGGAGGTGGAATTGACGCCTTTAATAGATCAGCTTGGAAGATTAAAAGACCTTGAAGCCCCTGATTATGGAACTCTTGAAACATGGAAAGCTAGAGCAATTTCTGTTGCACGTGCATCTAATGCCAATGATTCTGCTAGAAATGGACATGGACAGGGAAGAACACCTATGCCGTTTCTTGGAGAGACGAAGGTTTCTGCTTCTTTTTTTCGTTATGACGATTTTGCCCTTCATTAATACTTGGAATTACAGTTTTGTTATTTATTAGGTTGAAGTGGCGTTTTGTGGTGAGGAAAAAAAAGGGGAGATAAAATGTGACGATGAACCTATGAAAATGTTGCCACCATGGATGATTAAACAAGGGATGAATCTTACAAATGAACAGCGTGGAGGTGTAAACCAACAAGAATCAAAAATGGAAGGAGGAACTTCTTCTGCAGCTGCTGCTATGGATTTCAAAGATGACAACAAGTTGACTAGTCAACAGGATGATGTCAAGAATCTTCAGGTTTTTTTTTTTTTTTTAACAATTTGTATAAATAGTCAAATTAAAGTAGGAACTTTTCAAGAAAAGACACTGGGATGGCTTTTTGTGACAAGAACCCTTTTGTTTGAGGGGGGTGTTTGTAAAATTTATGGTGTTGGGATTTAAAATTATCGTGGTGGTTGATGTGACTATGTTGTTGTAGGATGAATATTTCAAAGCGTATTATGCTGCTTTACTTGAGAGGCAAAAAGAACAAGAACAAGGCATGAAAAAGGAACAAGATTTATCAAAGAATAATAACAACTCTGCCGACGTGGATGCCTTGAATTCAAGAAAACGCCAACATGATGATGACGTGGAAGGTGATGTGGAATGGGAAGAGACTCCAACTGCAGGTATAAGTTATAAAGTCATATTACATTTGTAACTGTAATTTATCTACTGAAGTCTTAACAACATTAGATCAATGTTTAACAATTCACTAGAGCTCTCATATCTAAATTTCTGTAAAAATAACCTAAAATAGCAACATACTCTCAAAACTGTGTAAAATTGCAGTTTCTCAAATTGAGTTTCCCCTAAGAAGCCATTGTTGTTTGACTTTCTTTTGCAGATGAGACTTTCAAGGTTGACTTGAATGTGGAAGCAACAGAGCCTTCAGGGGATGATGATGATGATGATGGAATTGATTGGGAAGAGGGTTAATTACTTACTAGAAAAAGAAAAGGAAAAAAAATAACCTTGAAAACTTTCTACTTATGCAAAATCGAGTTTTTTTTAAGAGATTTTTTCTAGATATGTTGCTATTGTACACCTTTTGTGAATATGAAATGTTTAAGTTCTAACGAAATACAATCGTCTTACATAGAAGATTGTTATCCAATTGAAAATTCATCCACAAAAAATTGATGATATTATTATGTATATAAAATTACAGTTTTAAGAAATGGATACCAATTTTCAAATTTCCTTACTTTTCATTCTATTATGCTATGAAAGTAATATGGACATCAAGTAGCCTAATTTCTATATTTTCTAACTTATTCGGTTCTTCCATGGAATTTTTAGTATGGAAATAACATATTAAATCTAACTTCTTATTTAATTCTTCCGATTGTTCGGTTTAATTCCGATAAGTATGTATGTACGTATATGGTACACAGAATCAAATCGGACTGAGAAAAAAGTTTTTGTTTTGGTTCGTTTTTTAGTTACTTAGATGCAAACAATTAAGTCCAAAAAATACAATGTTTATGCATGCAACATTTTATTCAAACTAACATCATTATTAATTCATTTATTTTATCTAGAAATATTGATTAAGCTAACCATAATTTTAAGTATACTTAATGAAAATACCCTGCATTTTTTTTGTAAATTGGCAAAATAACCAACAAGTCTGGAATGGGTAATTGGAGACTCGAGTTCAGCCTGACCTATTAAGATACTACATCTCGGACTAAGTGGAAAATCTCATACTTATTGGCGAAATAAAAAATGGTACTCGATCTTGACAATGTTGCACTTTATGGGTTGGTCATTGTTTCATTTACTGGTGTTTTTTTAGGGAGTAACAACTTAAAAAACATAGTGGAATGTTATTTCGTATCCAAAACTTTATAAAGTTATTTATTTTTCATTAGTGACCCTCTGATAACTTAGAAAACTAGTATTGGGTTGTGGCCGTTGACTTTAGCCGACCTTCGACCGCTTTGGAATGATATGCCATATTATTGAATACGAAGAAAAGTCCGGGATGCGAAGAACATTGTCTGAAATGCAGAGAACAGTCTGAAATATACTCTGAAATGATGTCCCAAACAACATAACTAACTTGGGTTGGCTCGATATTAGGCATGAAGATTCGTTCAAGACCTCTCTTACTATGTCATAAACACATGGCATTGGTGTCGATATTCTGGTAAGCTACAACACAAACCGACATACGAGCCACTTTCCCTACAGCCGTGCTTTTGTAAGTGTCTCGATGTTCCTATTAGCGTGGAATATGACCCTTTGCTTATGTATTATATGTTTTACAAAGAATTACAAACCCACAAAGTAGAGGAAATGTTTTATGAGATCGACGAGTACGAATTCACCTTTGGGAGGAATTTTTCGTCTTATTATATATTCTATTTTGGTGATTATTTCTCAGCTTCAGAGTCCGATTATGAGTTTTAGTTACGACTGTTTCCTATGATTAAAACGAACAACTTGGTTTGGTTGGAATACATAAAGAGTGTATTTGATAAAATCCATGGATGAGTTATCAAACGAGGATATAGGCACGTGTAACTTTCTTTACCTAATGCTCAGCGACTTGCATTTATTTATTGTGTCCACTATCCACTTTTTCTTGTCTTCAATGGATCGTAGTTTATCCTGCATTTGTCACCTAACTCACTTAGAGTGGGCTTTCTATTATTTGCATTATGTTTCTTTGGTTTCTAGTATGCATTTGTCACCTAACTCACTTAGAGTGGGCTTTCTATTATTTGCATTATGTTTCTTTGGTTTCTACTATGCATTTGTCACCTAACTCACTTAGAGTGGGCTTTCTATTATTTGCATTATGTTTCTTTGGTTTCTACTATCTTCCTCATAAATTCAGTGGTGCCCCGAGACCTTATCTTGGAGGTTGAAAGACAGTTAGCAATGGGAATGAATTTCGACCAATCGAAATACATTTTCAAAAAATGGATTAATAATTTTTGCTTTGAAATATGTCATTAATGGCTTTTGGTGTGAATTATGTTAAGAGCTAAGATGATTTAAATAGCACATGAATATATAGATAGATGGGCATTCTAACTAATTTGAGTGGTATGTGAGAATTCATAAATAGTTAGATGGTGTTTGTATGATAATAAAGTGGTATGTGAAGAGTAAAATGGTAGATATGTGTTTGGTAATTTAATTTCATATATTGTTATTAGGGATGAGCATATGGACCGGGGAACCGGCAGGAACCGGTACCGGAACCAGAACCCGATGGAACCGGTCGGTTCGGGACCAGGACGATATTCTTGTGGATTTTTGGAATCAGGAACCGGCAAAAACCGGTAGAACCGAAAAAAAACCGGAACCGTATGTTGCTATTTTTCGAAGACCGGTTCCAACATTTGAAGACACGACAAGAACCGGTAGGAACCGGCGGTCCGGTTCGGTTCTTATTTTCCACCAAGTTCGGTTCCCGGGCCGGTTCTTTTGCTCATCCCTAATTGTTATGTAGGTGGTGTGAGACAACTTTCAGAAAAGAGATTTTTATACATACAACTTATTTATAACCTTTATTTTGAAAAAAAAAAATTAAATGCTAACTCATGGATATGAACTGTAGTAAAGTCTAGAATAAGGTGTTTTGGAGAAAATAATGATTTTGCAAAAACCCAAACACTTTGTTATTTTTGTTAAAAACCTAGTTTATTTAGAAAATTTGGAAAAAAAATATATATATTGGAAAAAAAAAAGTAAAATATTTTGATTTATTTGAAGGGCAGTTTGGTCTTTGTACACCGTTGTGACTACCAACAACAAAAAAAAGTTCATCCTCGTTGAATTCCCGGTCTTGCTTTTCCTTTTCACGCTCCGTATGAGGATGCATCATGCATGCATGCATATAGATTTGTCTGCTAAAATCCAGATAAAATATGGATCATAGATATCGCCGTGTTAATCGCCATCGTCGCCGGAGACAATGTTCTTCTCCGTCATCGGAGACAAAAACAACAACCTTGTTGACGTCGTCCTCCTCCCTCCACCACCTCCTATTGTTTATCTTATGCGTTAACCATATTTCTAGCGGATATAATCCTATAAATATGGCGATGGCTTTTGACCTGAACACCATAACCTTCGATCAAGGCTACGCTACTCTGTTCAGCGACTTCAATATCGATCGATCTGACGACGACCAGAGCGTCCGTCTCATCCTCAATCGTCAATCTGGTATGTCAGGTTCAGAATTCAAAGAGAGATAATGCTCGTTTGTTTATGAATATTTGATGGATTGATTACATTTTATGGATGAATGAATGCAGGTTCTGGTATTATATCGACCGATTATTACAATTATGGATTCTTCAGTGCGAAAATCAAATTGCCAACGAAGTACACCGCGGGAATCGTCGTCGCCTTTTATGTATGTAATTCATCATCGCCTGATTTCGATTTCGATTTCATTTTACTTTTCCTCATCAACATTTTGTGATCTGATTTGAGAAAATTAGGGCAAAATTCGATAAAAAAAAAAAAAAGAAGAACACGTTAGAACAGAGTTTTAGTAGAAGCACAGCTCAGTTTAATCTATTGCTCAAATTTGATGATCAGATGAGAATCGAATGTTCTGGTGCAGACATCTAATGTAGATATGTTCACCAAGACTCATGATGAGTTAGATTTGGAGTTTTTGGGAAACGTAAGAGGGAAGCCATGGAGGTTTCAGACAAACATCTACGGTAATGGTAGCACAACCCGTGGTCGTGAAGAGAGATACCGGTTGTGGTTTGATCCAAGCAAAGAGTTTCATCGCTACAGCATTCTTTGGGCACGAAACAAGATCATGTAAGTTATCTTACTTCCATTAATTTCTTGACTCTTGTTGAGTTGTTTGAATTTCTGAGGATTTTGCTTTACTTCAGATTTTACGTTGACGAAATCCCAATAAGAGAAGTTCTACGAGACGAGAATATGGGAGGCGACTATCCATCAAAGCCGATGTCATCATACGCCACCGTATGGGACGCCTCTTCATGGGCCACTAACGGTGGCCGGAATAAAGTGGACTACCGATTCGAACCCTTTGCCGCCGAGTTCCGGGATCTGGTCCTCCAAGGTTGTCCGGTGGACCCAACGGACGCCACCTCCACCAACTGCCTTGACGCCCTTGATGAACTGGAATCGTCGGAGTTCGCCACCATTACTCCCCGGCAGCGGCAAGCCAAGAAGTGGTTCCGAGAAAAGTATATGTACTACAGTTACTGCTATGACCGGTTAAGGTACCCTTCTCCATTTCCGGAGTGCTTGTTAATTTCTTCCGAACAGGATTTGTTTAAGAATAGTGGGAGGCTAAAAAACCGGCAAAAGTTTCATCGGAGGCGCCGCCCTCGTCGCGGCCCACACCGGCCCAATACAACAGCCGTATATTAGCCCTCATGTAAAACTTGCCATTATTCCATGTATAAAATTGTATTATGTTTGTAAGATACAATACATTACTACATGAATAATTGTATACATATTATATAACGTGTTCAATTACTTGGTCTCTTTTAATTAGATATACATCAAAAATCCAAAATGTTTTATTTTGGGGCTGATATGTTTATTATTGGATCAGGTAAGAGGTGGGTATACAATAATATGTATGTTAAAAGTTGAGTTTGGCTCAATCAGCAGCAACTATCATAAAGCCTCTTAATGTGGACAACTTGACTTAACATGTAAAGCCAAAAATCCATGCTTAATAAAGCTATATAGCATTTGAATAAAATTGGGTTTAAATTATTGAATCTTTTGTTGTACATCATTGGAATTTGGAAGAAAAGCTTTAATAAAGGAATGTATAATTAATTGTTGCAACTTTGATGGTAAAAAAAGGTTATAAAGCTTTGTGACCATAATTTATGGAAGACGAAATTAATTACTTGCGAATTAATTGTTGCAATGGTGAAAAACAAGGAAGATGAACCAATGAAATTGTTAATTTTACAGAAAGAATCCCTGCAAACAAATATAATTTTCAAGTAGGTTATATTTATTGTAATCACACAATCAATACTTGTACAATCTTTTAGGCTCAAAATGCAAGTATTGTAATCAGAATCAGAAGAACAATTCCCACTATCACCAAAAGCAAGCAAGTCTGCACCCAAAAAAAAAAATAACAACAAATATTTAAAATTAAAACCCTCATCAACACAATAACAAATAACATAAACTAACCAAAAAATATATATACTAACAATTTACCATTGAAGAATTTGCTTTTTGAGTTTTGGATGCTTTTGAAAGCTGGACTCTTGCTTGTGCAGTTGCAGCATGAGAATTCTCAATATTTGACCCAATATCATCTGAAAAAACCAAACATCGTGTAATTTACTTTCCTTATTATAGCATTGCACTTATGTTTTTTTTTTCATTACAACATTGTACTTTCAAGGTATTCCTTAGTAGGACATTGTAATTTGAATTACGATGACATGGCAGGTTTTTATGCCATGTCATTGTCCACATAGGATGGGTCCATGTGCTCTTAAAGAATATTAGTCCAAAAAACAAGTGAGAAAAAAGAAACTCATGCTACTTACCAATCATGGCTCCTTGTTCATGAACCAAAACAGCAAGATCTTTAAAAATCTCATTTACTTCCCCAATTTGATTCTGTATTTCTTGAATCCCCTGTTCTCTTTCCTCAATAATCGCCTCATTAAATGCAATCTCATTGTCCAATAACAATACCTCTTGTCTACACAACACAAAAAAAACTCATAAAAATAATGATGACGTGGCCATAAAGGGTAAAAACGGAAGAACAACACCTCACCTTCTAGATTCCACAAGAAGTGCACGTTGTTCTGGGTTTTTGTCTGAGTTTATATCAATTTCACTGGCTGCATAACTGCAAATAAAACCATAACAATCTGTTAATTCACAAAGTTAATTTGTAGTTCAATTTAGTTCCATATGTGAATTGGACATTTACCTTGAAGGAAGAACTGCTTGAGGAACAAAAGGAGTGTAAGCTGTCTCTCTTTCAGCTGAGAGGCATTGAGCTTTTTGGAATTCTTTTAGAACTGCTTGAAAATCTTTTGCAAGTTTAGCATCTGTAATCTTTTTGCTAGTCTGCATACAAACAAAAAACAAAAATCAACCACCATGAAAGGAGTGTAAATTTTTTTTGATGTGTTTGTGTATGAGAATTGAGAAGGAATCAATTACTTACACTAACTTCAGCACGATGATCTGTTTCACTAGCTTGTTTGAGTTTCTCTGAAGTATCCTTCACCAATTGCCCAATATGTAGTCTTGTTTTGTGCCTATTGTTTGAGTAAACTCATTGTCAATATTCATCACGTAATTTATCTAATCTTTTGACAGCAATTAATGATTTCATTAGTTTTAGCAAAAAGATGATTGGAACATTGTTTCAGTTATTAACAGATCCTAGTAGAAATTGAAATTGTATGCTTCGGTTCGTTAATCTGTTAATAATCTGTTTTTGAGAAGGGATTTAAAAGCTACTCCATGAATGACTAAAGTTTGTGTTCTATAAACATGTTTGCCATAACTTGTAAGCTCGATTTGCAATTCAATTGTATGTCAACAGCACCTATAATTCTCTGATTACTCATTCAGTGGTTGAACAAATTGTGTACCAATTCAAACCTAATTGTCGATGGCTGAGAACAGTTATACTAAAAAACTAAGGGTTTTAGATCAAATTGCAATCGACAACCCAGAAAATACTATAATTGAAGAAAAATTATAGAATAAGACGTACAGTTTTTCTCGAAGTTCGGGGGTATCTTTAGGGGTACCAAGGGTGTTGACTAGCCGCTGAAACGAGGAGACGGCGGTGTTGATCTGGAAAATTCCGGAAGCAATAGCTTGGGTCGGATCTTGTTTCCTGACGCCATTTGCGTATCCCCCTCGTCTTGAATTGAATTGGCGACCGGCTTCAAGATCTTGAAAGCTCATCTTACCTTATACCTAATAACTTGTGTATCCCTCAAATAAACCCTAAACTTGGAGATTTGATGCGAATCCTACGACAAAGAATAATTCTATTGAGATGAAAAACCCTAACGATCGAGCAGGATGGTCTCGATCGAAAGGGTGAATATTGTAAGCGGGTTTGGCAATCGGCGTGACGTGAGGGCTGATGAAGAATTATTTAGCGCAATTTGGGGAGAATTGCCGCAAAAGCAATGATATATTGATATGGAAGGGGGGATACGTGGTTGTATGTATTTGACGCCGGCTCGTGAAAGTCAAACGAAAGGGACACGTCGGCGGTGCGTAGCCAAGAGTTATCAAGTATTTATTTTGTTTATTGGAAGCTTCGAATGTTGCGGAACGGCATCACATCATACATACTTATAAAGCTAGCATTTTTTCTTGAATCTCATTCATTTGAAACCCCATTTTTTAACTTTCTCAAACCACATTCATTTGAAACCCCCTTTTTTAACTAATGCAACTCAAAAGTTTTCGTAATTATGATTTAACACTCAAAAGTTTTATAACTTATATTATGTTTAATTAGTATTTAGTGAAAAGTTTACTATAAAAAGGCCGATCTTTTGTGTTTTTTGTGTTATATAAATTCTTACATGTAAGAAGGAATTGAAGATATTGTGATTCAAAAGTTTTCATATAGTTGAAGCACACACGATCCAAATATGATGATTTGAAGAAATGGGTTATGTCGCATCGATGGTAATTGTAATATGGTTTTTTCTTTCAACCAAAACAAATGAAGCTTTTCTATTCTTTCTTTATATTTAGTTTCTCATTTTATCTTTATATGTGATTTGTGTGTATTACTCAATCTTGAATGTGACTCTCCAAACATCAATGTTTTGCTTGGAATATCAACTAATTCTTCTTTTTCAAGAAAAATATTTTGATTGCAGGTTAGTGAAGAATTATCATCAAGTTTTTATGGTTGAATGGTGTTAAATGAAGAAATAAGATTCATAAAATGGATATAGGTTTTTTTGTTTGAGCAAAGTTGACGAATGATAGTTTTTTCTTTTGATTTAAATGTATGTTTATATAACATCTTTATTTATATATTCAACCACTCAATGCTCTTATTTATTTGATTGTAGTTTTTCTATTTTGACTATGTTTATTTTCGATTATTTTTTTGTTGAGTTATCCTACACAACATATTTAAAAGACAATATTTAAAAGATAACATAATTTTG